CTCACTGTTCCAGGCTGAACCGGGCACTGCAGCACGAGCAGGCCTTCGCCAATCGCTTCCTTCCCGACGACGAGGCGGCCCGGGCGCTGGGCAGGACGTTCTGGGAGGCCCTGGTGACCCCCTTGGTGCAGAGCATCACCAGCCCAGGTACCCTGCGCTCTCCAGACCCTCCCGTGCCGTGTCCCAGCAGAGGCCCCGGCTCTGAGTCTGGGTGGCCCTGCAGACGCTGACGGTGTCAGTCCCCTGGCCTGGCTCCTGAGTGAGTACCTGGAGAGCGTGGAGCTGCCCTGCCGTGCCCCGGGGCGCGGGGCCACCTTCGGTTCCTGCGTGCGGCGCCTGACCCAGCTCCTGGTGCACGTGGACCCCGGCGGCGCCGAGCCAGAGGAGCCCAGAGCAGCCGGTGAGCCCGGGTGCCCTCCTGTGGGGCTGTGCTCTGTGGGGCTGGGCTCCGTGAGGCTGTGCTCCGTGGGGCTGTGCTCTGTGAGGCTGTGCTCCGTGGGGCTGCACTCCGTGGGGCTGTGCTCCGTGGGGCTGCTTTCCGTGGGGCTGCGCTCCATGGGACTGTGCTCCATGGGGCTGAGCTCCCGTGGGGCTGTGCTCCGTGGGGCTGTGTTCCCGTGGGGCTGTGCTCCGTGGGGCTGTGCTCCCGTGGGGCTGCTTTCCGTGGGGCTGTGCTCTGTGGGGCTGTGCTCTGTGGGGCTGCACTCCGTGGGGCTGAGCTCCGTGGGGCTGCACTCCGTGGGGCTGTGCTCCCGTGGGGCTGCGCTCCGTGGGGCTGCGCTCCGTGGGACTGTGCTCCGTGGGGCTGCGCTCCGTGGGGCTGTGCTCTGTGAGGCTGTGCTCCAAGGGGCTGTGCTCCCGTGGGGCTGCTTTCCGTGGGGCTGGGCTCTGTAGGGCTGGGCTCCGTGGGGCTGTGCTCCGTGGGGCTGTGTTCCCGTGGGGCTGTGCTCCGTGGGGCTGTGCTCTGTGGGGCTGGGCTCCGTGGGGCTGCTTTCCGTGGGGCTGTGCTCTGTGGGGCTGTGCTCTGTGGGGCTGTGCTCAGTGGGGCTGCCCTCCGTGGGGCTGGTCGGGCTCCAGAGTGCCAGGCTGTGGCTGCTCTGTGTGCGGGGCTGCCCACGGACCCACGCTGAGCCTGAGGCTGACCCTTGGCAGGTGTCAAGGAGGGGAAGAACAAGGAGGTGCTGGCCAGGGCGGTGAAGGCCGTGGTGGAGAAGCCGAGGGGCCTGTGGGGAATCTCGCAGTGCTGGCGTGGCGTGGTGCAGCAGCAGGTACAGCTTGGAGGGCCAGCGGGGGGTGGATGGG